GTGTCAGCGTGGCGCCAGCATGGTGGCTTTGATATGCCGAGGCGGAGGCACTGAAGGGAGGACGGTGCGGTGCCGCACCTGGAGCGGCTGTGCTTGCTTCGGCGGGAGGCGTCAACTTTTCTTTTGCCCACGGACTGAGCCCAGCTCGACACCCGGCGGCTGTCCTTCGGGGACCTCCTTCAGAAGCTCTCGTCGGCAGGGCGAGACGGAGGGGGGGGGGGAAGCTGGCAGCACGAGGGTTCATGGCCCCTGGGGGAGGCCGACGCAGCGCCCTCGGTGCCAAGCGCTGCCTCCGCCCTTCCCGGCGGGTGCATAACGCCCCCCTCCCCCTGCCCCCGACCCTGAGGCGATGCGCTAAATTGGATGAAGAGCGACTCCGGCGAAGGGCTTGGGCTGCGCGTTCCCGCCGCCCGGGTGACGAATCGCCAGCAGCGATGCCTCCTCGGCCGCCGCCTCCTGCCGCCGCCCGCTTGGCATGGCTGCCAATTCTCGCGGGGCGCCGCGTGCCAGATGTAGGGGAGGCCTCCATTCCCCCGATCGACATCACCGCGCCGTCGGGTCACGGAGAGATTCCCCCCCGTCGCTGCGGGAGGAACACACCTGACAGTCACAAGACCAGCATGAGGTGTCTATGTCCCTCGAGAGGAGACTCGGGTGCCGCTGCGAACAGGCAGAAATAGACGCCGAAAGGGCTGGCAGAGGCAGCAGAGGCACTGCTTGCGCCGCCCGTACATTTCCATCAGGCGAGTTGGATGCTCCCCCTCCCTCCGCTCGCAGAGGAAGCAGGCAGAGCGGGCGGGTGTGGCTCCAGCGCCCCGGATATTTGCCGAAGTAAATAATGTTGCTTTTGTCCGCCCTCTCTGGCGCTGGCGAGGGCGTCGGAGGAGGCGCTGCTCTGTAGACCCGGGCGAGGGGAATACCGCCTGAGAGAGAGAGAGAGAGAGAGAGAGAGAGAGAGAGAGAGAGAGAGAGAGAGAGAGAGAGAGAGAGAGAGAGAGAGAGAGAGAGAGAAGGGGAGAGGAAGAGCGCTCTTGCCTTCATCCATTATGAGCCTGCCGCCGCTATGATATTTCCCACGCTGATACACCTGCCCTGACGCTCTCTCTCTCTCTCTTTCTCTTTCTCTTTCTCTCTCTCTCTCTCTTTCTCTCTCTCTCTCTCTCTCTCTCTCTCTCTCTCTCTCTCTCTCTCTCTCTCTCTTTCTCTCTCTTTCTCTTTCTCTCTCTCTCTCTCTCTCTCTCTCTCTCTCTCTCTCTCTCTCTCTCTCTCTCTCTCTCTCTCTCTCTCTCTCTCTCTCTCTCTCTCTCTCTCCCCCCCTCTCCCTCTCTCTCCCTCCCCCCCTCTCCCTCTCCCTCTCCCTCCCTCCCCCCCTCTCCCTCTCCCTCACCCTCCCCCCTCTCTCTCTCTCTCTCTCTCTCTCCCCCTCTCTCTCTCTCTCCCCCTCTCCCTCTCTCCCTCCCCCTCTCCCTCTCTCTCTCCCCCTCTCCCTCTCTCTCTCCCTCTCTCTCTCCCCCTCTCCCTCTCTCTCTCCCCCTCTCTCTCTCTCTCTCCCCCCCTCTCTCTCTCTCTCTCTCTCTCTCTCTCTCTCTCTCTCTCTCTCTCTCTCTCTCTCTCTCTCTCTCTCTCTCTCTCTCCCTCCCTCAACCTTTTATCTATATATCTTCTCTTTTTCGCTTCCTTCCTTGCCCTTTCCATTTTTCTCCATTTTCACCATTTATCTCCCTCTCCCCCTCCCCCCTCCCATCTTTCTCTCTTTTTCCATTAGTGTAAATATGTTTGTACATATGTAGAACATTGTTTTGCCACAACATACAGGCACACGAAGTTGATAGCAAGATCCGTGATAGCGCTGACATAAGTGGGGAGAGACAGACAGGCAGACGGAGGGGAAGCAGATAGACAACCGATAGACAGACAGACGCGCACACAGAGACCGCCTTGCGCCTTACGTCATGGCCTAGCGTGGCGTCGTAGACGAGCCTCCCTCGCCTCGACTGATCCGAGCCAGAGCAGAGCCTGCAGTCACGGCCCGGGAATCGAAGTGATGTAATGCGACACCAGGAACTCGGTCGCGTCTCCTCGGCGTGCGGGATCCTCATCCGGGCGGAGGCCTGGGGGATGCCTCGCCCGGACGCCCAGGTGCGGCTTGCTGTTCGGGGGACCAGGGCTTGATAGTTACTACTTTTTTCTTCTTCTTTCTCCTTTTTTCTTTTTCTTTTTTTTTCTCCTTTTTTCTTTTTTTCTTCTTCTTTCTCCTTATATTTCCTTTTCCTTCTCTTGTTTTTGCTCTTCCCCTTCTTTGTATGCTTCGTCTCGTTTCCCTTCTTCCTCTTCCTCTTCGTTTTTTCCAAGAGGCATGTAGTAACATTTTGAAGTAAAAATGTCAGTGATGTGGCGCGTGGCTGATACGCAGGGTGCCGTCTGGCAGTAAAATGCGGATTATCTGGAGGAGCCGTAAAGCTCCTTGGCCGCAGCCTGCGCCTAGTACCCCGAGGCGAGAGATTTGATAGCCGACGTTGGGGCCGTATTTATAAATAGGTGTTAGATATCGGCGTATTTTGATGGAGAGAGATTGACGATAGCGGTGCCTGCATTCGAGGAGAGTAAGGTCGAGAATCGTCAGGTCCGCCGTCGAGGAAAGTGCTGAGCTGTCGAGAAAGAAGGAAGTTTCGGAGCGCGTCGCCCGGCCGGCAGGCAGCTGTCCGAACACGTTAACCACTTTTCTCGCCTGACGACGGGATTCGAACGCGGCGCCGAAATAGACGTTTGCGCGGAGACGTCAGCGTTGACAGGTTATGATCAGCGAAGTGTCAGCGCCGGCAGCTGGGTTGAATACTACTCCCCCCCCCCCCTCTCCTCTCACCCGCGGACTCAATCCCCTGAACTCTTTTCTTCCATCTCTTGCATTAGTTATCGTTCTGCGCGTATTTCCCGCTTTCCTCTCCCCTCCCCTTCCTCCGCTTTCACTTTCCCATACCTGCCTACCACCACCGCTTCTCTTCCTAACAGTTTCTTTCCTCCCTCTCTCCACCGCCTCCCCTCCTTCCCTCCCTCCCTCCCTCCCTCCCTCCCTTCCCCTGTACCTCTTCCATTCCTCCCTCCCTTCCCCCCTTCTTTCCCTCCCTCCCTCCCCATTAAATTCAGCCTTGACCTTTTTACCTCTTCAAAGGCGCAAGTGACAACAAACCACGATTAAATGCTCGTTTATCCGGCGTTCGCGGCGCTTTCTCGCTTTCTCGCGGTGGGCGGTTAAACTTTCTTTTTCACTTGTTGAGGTGCTTTTTTTGTTTCATATTCAGGATTGTTTTCTATTATTTCAATAGTCAGTTTTAACCTTTATGAAATAACAAGAACGATGAAAATAGTCGATGACCTAGAAAGGCGAAATTTTGGAAAATTGATAATTGTTAGATTAAATGTCCAGCACGATCAACCATTTCTTGTATATGTATAGTAAGTGGTGTCCGATGACGCCTTAGGCCCGTTTGACATCCGGAATGGAAAGTTGTTAGCGCCTTAATGCCCGCAGAACGACGCCATATGTTCCGGCGGGCCTCGGCAGTCGCGGCAGGGAAAGGAATGAAACAAACGAGACAGAACCTCCGTTTTCTTTAATGTGTTTCCCAAGATCCCATCCATAGTTTTCTCTTTGGGGCAGCTCCTTCCTCGGTGTGCATCTGGAGCAACGGAGGGGCAGAATGCGACGGAAAGCGTTTTGTTTTTCCCTCCTCCCTCTCTCCCTACGCCAACGTGGGTGATGTGGAGTGTGCAATGTGTTCCAGCGTGGCGGTTCTGGGCTGGTGAATGTGCCCTCGTGGCCGGGCGAGGCCGGGGGAGGCCGGGGGAGGCGCGGCGGGCCGGTCTTACTCTCACAGTACGGGTACGACTCGCTCACACACCTGCCGTCTCCACCTGACACTGCCCGCGCCGCCGCCTTTCTTTCGCTCGTACTCCGAGGGTCCTCGTCCTCGTACCGAAGGCTCGTTTGACGGCGTCAGGTGTCGGGCCCAACGGCCGATCCTTAGTTGAGTGGATTCACGCGGAAGTCGAGTCGTTTGTCGCCGTTGCGTTTAAAGGGATCCAGTCGGACCTTTAACAAGCGCAGAATGGGTCGCAGGCACGGGAAGGACCGCCGCGCAGGGGACTCTGGCTCGGATTTCGACGACGAGCCTCCGCCGAGCAGAGGGCCAGGTGCGTCGCGGCCTCGCGCTTTTTGTTCCTTTTCATCTCTTGGGGCGTTTCTCGCTTTTTAGTCCATTTTCGAGTCATGGAGACAGGAGTCCGATAACTTGCGATTGTAGTTTTTGTATGATGTGCAAGCATGATTTGCGTCTGTTCCGTATGGTGTAAAATGTATTTGAAATAGTTCAGTTGTCAGTACTGAAATGTAATTTCGTTTCCTTTAATGTTGTATTCCAGCAGAATGGATAAAAAATCAGAGATGAGTTTGTTTTCAGGAAACATATGTTATTCTACTTTTTACTCACAGGGAACTCAGGGGTCACTGAACTATTTGATTCTATTCTATGCATGAAAGAAGTTATTCTGATTGTATCGTCAGTTGAAATGTGTATATATGCTCGTTATTTGGAATGTGATTGTGTAAAAATGAAATGGAAAGTGCATGACCTTAATATACTAAAGGATTGTTAAAAAGATGTTTATTTGTTTACATATTGATATAAACGTGTGGTTTTATCTGATGGTATAAACACAACTAATTTTTTTTTTTTTTTTTTTTAAGTGAAGTAATATTCTGTACAGTCATACCAGAAGGATTTTTTTGTATTGTATAAAAAGAAATGGATGGTGTCAGATAAAACTAATATTTATCTGAACATATTTATGACAAATGCACACACACATATGTATTTAGGTATTTTACCTGCTTTAACAGCCTCCTGAATAGTCCAACCTTCATTGCTATTCTGTAGCAGTATTTATTTTTCCAAGGGAACACCATAGAGAACCAAAACTAACATCCAAACTCTACATTGCAGTGGTTGACCTGATCTACTGGCGCGATGTGAAGAAGACGGGCGTTGTCTTCGGAGGGTTGATGATGATCCTCATCTCGCTGGCCTACCTGTCCCTCATCTCCGTGGTGGCCTACACCTCCCTGACCGTCCTCTCAGGAACCATCACCTTCCGCATCTACAAGAACATCATGCAGGCCGTTCAGAAGTCACAGGATGGACACCCATTCAAGTGAGTGAGCCAGGCAGCTGTTGGGACTGGTTGGGTGGGGGTAGGTTGAGGGGGGGGGGGTGAAAGAGAAAGGGGTAGGCTGGGTGGGCAGTCTTTAGAGGAGGGAAAAGGGAAATGGGAAGAAAGAAGAGAAAAGGTGGAGGGGGGGAGGGAGTAGTATTATTGTTTCCATGTTTTAATTTTGAAGAGTAGGTAGCTTTGTATTATAAATGCAGAAAGGTAGCATGTCTGAAATGTTACTATTGCATAATATGTAATGTGTAGCTCTAGATACTCTTGACAGTGCATCTCGGTAAATATTGAATTATGAAAAGAGATAATTACTACCAGTAAAGTTAACTAAGATATTGATGAGCATTATTTTATTACAATATTTAAGTGGTATGTATGAAATGTATATCTGGCAGGAAGAAAATCTCTCCTTGGCTCCTCATATAACAATGGGACAGGTTTTCATTTTCAGCCGTGAGATTCAAAGGAACCAAAGTTGATTCTGAATAAGCCTAATGCCAAAAACGCCCCTTAAATAAAGTGGTAAAGTTGGGAATATGCATGCCTTTGAAAGAATAAGTTGTTGGTAATAGAGCAAGGTAACACATGTGCATTGCCAATTCTACACAAAATAGACACTTCTAAAATTAAGGCATTTTATGCAGACTGTTCCCAGTTGTAGATAACAACTTAAGTCAGTCAGACTTCACACTTTGAAATATTTAAACATTGCGGTTATATAGAAGAACTGGTGAAGGAAGAAATACAAGGTATTTATAGTGGTAATTTCGAGTAGTCCTTTTTAACTATTCATCTTTAGAAAATCTTTCTTTATACAGTATTTCTCCATTCTATGTTGGAAACTTTGTGCCATTAATATCTAGATTATACTCTTATTACCACATTGCCCATGTTTATGTAACTCATTAGTTTTTTTTTATTTCCCAAGTGTTATTTGGACAGTTCCATATAATTTTCTCTCTTCTAGGGACATCCTGGAGCTTGACACCAACCTGCCCTCAGAAAAGGTGCACGAGGCTACTGATGTCATCATTCAGCAGATCAATTCCACAATCAGCGAACTCAAGCGACTCTTCCTTGTGGAGGACCTTGTTGATTCCGTTAAGGTGTGTAGCTTCAGGTAGAACTGTTAGTTCATACTGAGGGGAAGAAACAGGTATTAATGTTGCCAGGAAAATGTAGTATACACTGTAGTATTGTTTTGTGAAAGGTTAAGTGCTTAGCCACAAATGAGTCGATTGGTAACCCTTGTGACATCACCTGATTTCACCTCCCTGAGTTTGTAGGAAAGTAAAACAATCAATCCATCAATATTCATTCTCTCTTTCTCTGTGTGTGCCATCCCTTGTAGCCTCAGGTTAATTGCTGTGTGTCTCATGGTAAAATTGAGAACTGATTTTTATTTATTCTATTTATTTATTTTTACCTAAACAACTGTTTTGGTTAATAATCATAAGGCAGTTTGTTGTAATGTATGTTTGTTGCAAGTACTGCTATTATTCCTTGTCTTCATTTAGCATTATATTCATTCTCATAAGATATTTGTACTAAATGGCTTTCTGCCATGGATTTAGTCAATTTCTATAAGTAATAACACTTTTTAAAGAATACATTTTTGTTCAATTTCATGTGTTTAATAATGATTAGAAATCTGATTATTCTGTGAACTATTTACTGCGTACATTACTTATTTCATATGAGTTGTTTAATTTTATTACCTTTGTTTGGTGTATTGCAATTCATGAAGTCTGTTCCTGATTTTGTTGTTAAACCAAGGTATTTATTCCAGTTTGGTTGTCTGCTTTGGTGTTTGACCTACTTGGGATCTTGGTTCAACGGTTTGACTCTTGTCATCCTTGCGGTTGTAGCTCTCTTCAGCCTTCCCAAAGTCTATGAACAGAACCAAGCCCAGATTGACCAGTATGTTGGTCTCGTTCGCTCACAAGTTAACGATATCATGTCCAAGTAAGTAATTTTAAAGAATCGTTGTGGTTCTTAGAGAATTGACAATATTAATGATTAAATTTTCATGTATATATGTATGTTAGGTAATGATTGGAACAAGATACAGAGATCTGTGACATTTGTCCTCTCTTAGAGGAGGCCAAAGATTTGCTTTTGAGTATGAAGAGCTTGAGAAATTCTTATAACCCTTTTCTTTTTCTTTTACAGGGTGAAGGCTTCCCTCCCCATTGGAAACAAAGAGAAAACCCAGTAAGAAAAAGACAACATCAACGTGTGATATCCTGAGTGCATCTGTGTCTGTGCGCTACATCAAACCACTGGTGTGTTGCGGCATCTGCACCAACGTCGAAGTGCACACATTTTATTTGTGTGCAGAGTAATCCCAGAGAGGAACCAACCAATCCTATTGTGGTCTGGCTTGCAATGCTCCCCTAAGTCACACAATGTTTCCTGATGGGAATGCACTAGCTAGCTGCCATGTCTGTTGTAATGATAGGTGAACTTTGTAATATTGCTTTAGCTATTATGGTAACATCTCTTCAATGGCAGTGAACAAGTTTTTGTGTACAGTAAACCAGTGATGGAACCCAGCAGCCAAGTTGTGAGGTTTGGGGAGCATAAAGACAGTTTTACGAATGAGAGAGGCACACAGTGAAAGAAAAAAATATAAAGTAAAAAGCACTTCCAGCTGATATTATTAGTGCTATTAAGATGATGCTCAGTTGATGCTATTGTGCCTCTGGTCACCCTATTTCTGATTCTCACCTTTGCTTGCTTGTGTTGGTTAGAAGATTCTCTGTAGCATCAAGGGTGTTTAGCATGTGCTGGGCATGCTATTTATGCAGTGCACCCAAGGTATAAACAAGAAGTGGTGTTATAGTTATACATACAATCAAGGGTGAGGAACATGTTTGTGAAATACACTACTCCATTGTATAGTCATTGCATTATCGTTCTTTGTAGTTTTTTTTTTTTCTTCTTCTTCTTTCATCTTTCTTTTTATTAATTAGCACTGTGAAAGGAGTATCAATGCAATCATTTTCAGTTGTTTAGTTTGTCCTTATATGCTTCAAACTGGCTGTCATATATGGTTAATGTAGAATTGCCAATTAGTGCAAAAGATCTGTTGTCCAATGTCAGTCTTCTAAGATCTGTCTTTATTTATAATTTTCATGCTTATAAAATTTTTCTATTGAAAGAAAAATCTCCAATGTACCCAAGGCATATACTTTTATAAAGGATAAGCAAATAGTGTTTTGATTTTTTATATATAATCACCAAAGTAACTCTGTGGGAAACCTGCTTCCATTTCAATGGGTGTTCTCTTGTGTCTGTGAAGTGGGAAATTCCACATATGTCATAGTGCTGTTGCTTGCCACAGTCGTCTATTAAATAACTGTCTACAACCTCTTTAAGTGTTATGGAGATGCAAGTGAGGATTTAAGCTTATATTACTACTAGATATGTTTAATTATTGTACTCAACATCTAGGGGCTATTATTTGCTCTTGTTGTAACAGGAATTCTATTAGATATCTGGCTGAATCTAGTTCGGAGATTTACATATATTTAAAGCTTTTATTTATATTTGGGTAATGGGTAGGAAAATATAGAAAAAAAAAATTATGCTTAAGTTGAAGGAGTTTTCTAAGTACTTGTAAGTGTTCTTTCATATTGCATTAAATACTGTCACAAACAACAGTAAAGTTGCTGTACTACCAAATAAAACATTCAAGATTTACAAACCTTTTTATTCCTTTTACTAAAGTAAATAATAGTTTTTAAGCAACTTCTTACACTTTGACATTCTGTAAACTAATGCTATTCTTACAGCATGTAGAAGTTACAGACATTAGGAAATGCTTCAGAGGATGGCAGTTTGAGGAACAAGGCTTGTAACTGCAAACTAAATTCTAATGGGAAAAGGTGTAACTTTTGCAAATACCACCTTGCTATTTGTTCAGAGGAATGAAGGGATTTGAAAATGCAATTAGAACACAAAGAAATAAGGGAGACACAAAGGTGGATTGATTATAAGAAATTAACCAATTAATACAGTACAGCATAGACTGAACTTTCTTCATATCCCCTAGTTAACTACTGAAGTGCCCATAATGTAGCCATAACCAGTATTCTTGACCAACTGAAGCTGGGATGGACTGTACTTGTAATGTCCACTGTAATTCTTTCACAATTTACCATGTCGCCAAAGACTCGGTTATGACTTCAACCTGATCTTGTACATTTACCCTTTTCCTTGACTTTCAGGAAACTTTACTAATAGCAGTAGAAAAAAAAAATTGTGTTAATAAAATAATCTCAGTTATAATGGTAATATTATCCCAATGTCGCCAAGGAAAATGAATAAATTATAGGGAAAATGCTGTGCTCATTTTTTATATTTTTTGTGAAATGTCTCTGCACATAGATGACTCTGCTAGTGCTTAGCCATAAAGGACCTTACCTGTTTTCACCTTTCCTTGAATTGGCAGAAATGTGTAGTTTTTACTAGTGTTAAGAATGTTTTTGTTATAAACATTATAATAACTATAATGTTATAAACATTAATAACAGCAAAATAAGATAACATAAAATATTTTCATAAATCAAAGAAAAGGCAGTACTCATAATTGGCCCATTGGTGACTTAGTACAAGTGTAGTCATCTATGCGTAAAAACAATTAAACAAGCAAACTCACAGTGGGCATGGCATGTACGTACACGTCATGCCTGTCGGCATTGGGTTAGAAAAAGGGAATGGAGAGGTCAGATGAGGCTAGTGAGGCTTTTTTACTGACTCTGGTGACAAAATTAACAAAACCTATGGACAGCACTAGTTTTGTGATGGGTACTGAGGCCAAATATGGGGATCACCCCTACTTTGGGCCAAAGCTCTCAGCTCAGTTAGTTTTGACCCCTAATCCCTCGCTCATTTTTGTCATGAGGGGGACTTAGGGAACGGACACTGGGGCCCAATGGACGGGATCACCCCTACCTTGGACCACTAATTTTGCATGGTCTTTTCTTCTCCCTCTTTTATTTTCCTTCTCTTTTTCATCACCACCTTCTGCCCACTTCCTAAGGTGTAAGAGCCCTGCTGAGAGGATAAAAGGCTGCATTTGAGTCAGTGAGTAAATGGCCTCCGGGAGCCATGGGCACATTATTCCCTTGGTTAATTGTTAATTTCTTCACCCCATTTATTTTGGGCTCACCACAGCCAATAATAAAGATTTCTTATCCTTATTAGGGGCATTAAGTCTTGCTGCTTCATCAGCTAACCCATCTAAATTTGATTTTGTTGTTTTCCCAACATATGCCTCTCCTTTAACCACAGCTCCAACCATTGATAGTAAGTACCTCCTCCTCGATTGCTGTCAACGCTATCCATTCCAAATCATCCACCGAGGTCATTACTCAACCTGCAGAATACATACCTTCCTCTCTCCCAACATCCTCCACTCCATCTACTGCACAGTCTTCTTCATTGTCTACCTTATTATCCTTCTACCAACAGTACTACCTCTCTCCATACCACTCCATCTTGTCCTACTGCTTCCACCTCTGCAAACCTTTTGATTACCCTTTTTTGGCCCAGCCAAGTGGGATCAATTCTATGAGTCCCCCTACAGTCCTGTACTCTGACAATACCTTCTCTCCCATCAATATCTCCAAAAACAAGAAGGCAAATTTTCCTTGCGCAGTTGTTCTAATCATTCACAATCCCAAGCTTCCCTGACTGTCCTCACTGGCAAACCTTTTCCTGCCCAACCTCACTCCTCCCTTAATACTAGTACCAGAACTGTTTCCGTCTCTGACTGATTGTCCTGTCAATGACAAGGGCTGGTCAGACTGTGAAAACGACTTGCTTGCATGCCTTGTTGACTATGATGCAGTCAATACTAGTCCAGTGCTACACTTTTTTTACCAGAGGCCAACACAAGTTTAACACCAATATTGCCAGATAAGCTTCTGTAGACATGACTTTCCCCATGAAGTTTATATTGGTGGAGTGTCTTGCCCTGTCTGACCATAGTGACCTCATCCCCATCAATGTCCGAAATGTTGGTGTTTTGGCCACCCAGCCAAACACTGTCGTTCTGTAGCCTGCTGCCCAACCTGGTCAAGACCATTCAAATTGCTCTGCTCAGTCACGCAGGTGAGCCAATTGTGTTGCCTCCCATAACGTACAAGCTTGAATCTGAGGTAGTGGTTCTCAGTTTCAAACTAGGCCTCAGACAAGAAGCACACCAACAAGGTTTTTCTCTTTCTACCTATTCCAAAACTGTACTTCATTCCCTCCTCTCCCATCTTCTCAAGTAGTCTCAGCATCTCCCCCAGTATCTCTTCCCACAACCCCAAACTATCCTATCTCTACTCCCTTTCTCCCCCAGACAAATTGCATAGCACAATCATGCTTAAGTGCCAATTACAGTAGCTCCCATAACGTATTTTATAGGAGTTGCCCCATCTACAAGTCTGTGGTAGCAGATCTCTTGCTACCTATTCCAATACTGTCCTTCACCCTTCTCCCCCTCCCTTCTTCCCAAGATGTCTCAGCATCTCCCACAGTATCTCTCTCCTTTCTTTTCCTCCTACTTCACCCATTTCTACCATTATTACTTACAAATTACTTCATAATGACTCTTTTGCAGTTTTCATTATGCAACGTTTCACTTTCTACCTCAGGCAGGTTCTCTCCCTTTGATCTAAACCCTTAACCCCTTCCCCTTTTTACAAATCCTGCCTTATTCCGTTTGCTCCCTCAACTGTTATATGGACTTTGATGCTTAGAACATTTATTTGATTTAACCATTAACCCATTAGAGAGAGAGAGAGAGAGAGAGAGAGAGAGAGAGAGAGAGAGAGAGAGAGAGAGAGAGAGAGAGAGAGTGATAACATTGCACCAAGACAATATTTATGATATTGCATTATGATAAGC